AAGTCATCAAAATGTACCTGTATCAAGCCCATCTATGGGAGCAGTAAGTAAGGCTCTCTGATGTTCCCCATGAGCTGCCTTGGCATGATGGGAGGTGGAATTGAGTGCACCAGCAGAAGGTGATTGAGGAAGGGACAGAGACTGACAGAGAAATTTCTAGTAACTGTGTGTTGACTCTTATAGTCCTTGTTTTCATTTTTAGAGATGAACCTACTCCTATGTGAGAGCAGTAAGAATTAAGGGTGATGAGGGTGCTATTAAATGGCTATAGGTGATTAGAGAGCATTAACATAATAGACAGAGATCAGATCTCCTCTTTTTTCACATCCAGATGAATAAGCTTGAGGATGCATAGACATGTAATGAAGTCATGCCCTTATGTTAATGTCAAACAAAATTTTCCTTATGTTCCAGATTTCTTTCCTGGTGCCAGATGTGCCGTATTTTTATTGTCTGTAGTTTTGGCAGCAGAAATGCCCTGCAGTGTTATGAAAGGGGAAGTTTCAGCCAGAAGCACAATGACTTGCAGTATCTCAGCTGGGAGCTTTACCTCTGCCTTCTTCCTTTCCTTCTGTCCTCCTGCTTTGGGCTCTGAAGCCAGCACTTCCTGAGACCATATGGATTTTGAACCCCAGCAGAGTTTATGTGGTCAAAGGGACTTTGAAGAATGAAGGAAAGGAAGCCCTAATCCTGAGCAGGGCTTTCTGTGCAGTTTGCTTATTTGTGTCCTGCATTCATATCTGCTTCCCTACTGTTTTCCTGATGCAAGTCATGGATTTTGTTCCTGATGTATGAAACTAGCAAGCACCTAGCAGTGGCCAGGGAATGTGAATTTCCATGGTTGTGGCACGTTTTGAAGCCACCCTTTTGGAAACAGTTTCTCTTTTTTTGTGTATGATTTTCCTTTAAATATATTACTGTCAAAATAAAGCCAGGTGTTTTCAGAAGGAAGTAAAATCACACAGTATCTTTTTGACATAAATAGGAACAGGAGTTATTTGCTTAATCTCAAGTCATCAGTATCCTATCTTTTCACTCCAAAATCAACTTTGTTGCAATTTTTCCAAACAAGAACTAGAAGGTAAAATTGAAGGAGCCCTTAGGTATATTATATGCAGAGTACTTCTATTTCATCATAAAATTGAGATGTTAAAGCATTCATCAGACAAACACTGAGTCACTGCATAGTGCTATCATAAATAAACAACTAAAAGCATTTACAAGCTTCAGAAGAATTTGAAAATACTTAACATTCAGGCTTTGTAATTTGGCCTCTGCATGCTTTTATCAGTCCCTTCTGAGAGAACTCAATCATTTTAGACTAAATAACAGAATTAAAATGGACTGCGTTGTCCTATGTAAAACATCTGTGAGGAACTAAAGCTGTCAGTAGGTAATTTTAATTTTTCCTAAGTCTAGAAAGTCCATAGCATCAAATTTTAAGTAAAGGAAGAAAAATTACATGAAATGAGCCCCTATGGTTTCTTAATGAAATAACATTTATGAGTTAGAACTAAAGTATTTTTAATTGTTGCTGCTACAACAAGAAATATTTTATGATTTTTGTGATATTCTGATTAAATTGTTGGGATAAAATGCTACTGATTAGCATACAATTGTAAGCAACAGTAGCATAAGACTAGAGATCCCCTTTAAAAATGTATCTTTTTAGAGTAGGGAAAGTTTTTGTTTTGAAGAAAGCCTTTTCAAGTTGCCATGAAGTCACACTTAATTAGCCATATATTTGCTGTGTCCCTGATTACACATGTTGGTTGCCTTAGCCATGATAACTTCTAATTTTTGAGCTCTTTTGTACAACAGATTTTTGTAAAGAAATGTCTTCGCTCCCCCTGTGCTCCAAAGAGCACCGGCAATACACAGGGAGTTTTTACTCCTGCCTTTCAATAGGAATTGAGAAATCAGGTTCTTCAGAGACTGAAGGGCTAAACTTCAAGTATTGAATCAAAGTGTATGTGAATTTTTATATGGTACAAGGATAGGAATGTTTTCAGAAAGCTGATTTCTGATTTTTTCTGTACCAGGACTATGCCTTGAGTTTTCAGTGTTTCAGAGGTAACGATCCATCTTAATGTTGTTCTGCATGATTACATTAATTCCCTCCAATGAAACAGCTCTTTAGTCCCTTCATTAACTTTTCTTGTACTCAAGCTCTATTCTTTAAAGTTTTTTACTACTCGCATACCACAGACTTCTGGGATTTTTTGTTTTTCTTTCCCCGTCCTAACTTTCTCTTTAAGCACAGAACTGGTCTTCATCCAGGAGGTCAGCATCAACCTATGTGATGCTTAAATTTAATATAAGCACTATTATTTTTTAAGATTTGTGCAGTGGTGAGGCAGGTTCTGGCCCCCTTTGCTTCAGTTTGACAGCTTCTCTTACAAAGAGCGAGCACTGCTCAGTAGCAATGGTGAGTTGGTGTTCATCCTTTCAGTCCTACAGTTTGTTCTTTTTGGAGTAGATGCCTGCACCCCAGTAAATCTTCATGTCCCTCATACCAGTAGATCTCCTCACTACAATAGGATGCACCTGCCTGAGATAATTTTAAAAATTGAGGCCTTAATTTTTTGGGTTTGTGATTCATATATACAATTACTGTGAATTATTTGCTTGCTTCCATGTAATGTTTACACAGCTCTGTGCAAGAAGGTGGTTTTATTCCAGAATATGGATCTTTTATGTCTGCAGCACATGTTTTGGAGGAGTTAGCATTGCTAAAAAATTCCTTATGGGAAATGATTCTTCTCTGCTTCTTCTGTAGTTGCTCACACATTTCTTTTTAATAAGCTGAGACTGTTATACTGTATGGCCTTCCTTGATTATAAAAATCCATTATTTAGACTACATGTAGAAGGCATGTGAGTCCAACAGAGCAAAGACCCAGTTGTGAGGGATGTGGAGTGCTGCTCAGACTTAACACTGTTTACACCAGGGCTTTAGGAGAATTGCTGCTGGAACCACTATGAGCAAGTTTGTTTCCTCGTCACTGTTAAATTTTGTGGGAGTTGGTTCCTCTCTCTTTTTTTTTTTTTTACCTATCTGTCTCTGAAGACTTGAACTTTTCTGATCAGACACCAGATATGTTTCTTTGTTGGTCTAGAGACACACATCTGCTTTTTTCTTTCCCTGCTTTCCTCTTCTTCTATATCTGCCTTCTAGATTTGCACTGTTATCAGTTATTTCAGTCAAAAAAAGGAAAACAAGAACGTTTTTTTAAAGCATACTTTTTATTATTTTTTTTCCCTATGACTCTTTCCTTTTTTTCCTTTCTTTGTCTTCTTTTCCTCCTTTTTTTATTATGTGGATTTCTTCTTTCCCCCACATTTTGTGAGATGAAGTTTCACTGTGAGGGACAAAGGAATTTCCTGCAAGGCATTAGAGCAGTGAAGGAGCATGTGCTGATATTGCTTGGTACAGCAGTTGTTTGAAGCTTTTCTCTGAGAAAGCGTTACAAACCAGAGGGCTACGGTGACCCACAGGAGTTCATTTCTGTATATGAGTTTCACCCAACTTCTTGGCTGTTTCTGTACCACATTAGTCACTTCCAAGCAGGTGCTGTGGGCAGCCCTAAGCCTGATCAGTGTGGTCTGATGGTGGATCAGGCACTTCAGAGTTGTGCTCCCATAACACCAATCCAAATGGGTCTCACTCAGGTCCCATATTTCCATTCTCACATGCATCAATGTCTCTCTGCTCGGTGCCAAGAAAAGACCTGTGGCATGAGCCAGCGAGACAAGATTTTGGCTAGAAAAAGCTTTGCTAGAGAAGAAGAAAAACTTCCCCTCCAGACTGCTTCCAAATTTATGTTGAGCTCAAATTACCCCAGTACAAACGTAACTTTTTACCTCCAGGAGGTTCAGTAAGCTTTCTCAGCGGGTTGCTGTCTTTTTTTCTAATCTCTAATTTTTTGAATTGTGGTTTTTCTCCAGCCTGGCACTTTCTGTTGCTTTAATACTATTTTGGATGTGCTTGATATTCCTTTGAAAATTTTGAAAGTAGGGATAAGCAAAATAAAAATATTTTCACATGTGGATAGAACGTAGGGTTGGAATTTTAAAGGCAAGATGTAAGAGGTCTGAGGACAAGCTAAACCAAACAAAAAGTGTATCCAAGGGACCGATAAATATTTATCACTTTTTACATTTGGTCCTGATCACTGCTTGGACTTTAGACGTGTCTTTACTCAGGTTTTTCGAGCAGGAGTAGACTTCCTGGTCTATTGTGGTCTTGTTTCATAGCCTCTGAATGGCTGTGGCTATTGGAAACAACATATCACAGACTTAGTAGTGGATTATTTAATTCCAAATTCCCTCAGCATTTAATTATACAGGCTCAAAAGAAAAATTTTGAAGGCCCTAGTCCAACAGTGTGGTTTTTGATATCTCTTGATAACCTCAGGTTTCAGTCTTTCCCATCATCAATCAGTTGCTGAAGTGAAGTACAGGAGAGGAGTGTGGTGAACTCAAACCTATTGGTTATTGACCATCTAACAATCTGAAGGTTTGTAATTTCTTACAGAGTTACAAATCCTGTGCTGCAGTAAGCTTACATTTCTAACTCATCAATCACAGCAATGGCAACTTGTAACATCCCCTAGGGTTTTCAGATTAATTTAGCAGTGTTTACAGGCATTGAATTTTTGGTTACAGGTTTTGGGGTTGCATCTTTTATTATTATTTTTTTAACCTGAGAATGTGTACTTGGGGAAAAGTGAGAGTAATTTCTCAGTGATACTCTGATATCAATTAACAATGATTTAAGAGGATTCTTGGAAGGAGGATAGTTCCATTCCTATTTCTTGTCTTTCTGCTTGGAATACTGCCAAGGAAAAACAGCTATATTAGTTGGTTTCAGTTATTTTTGCCTTTTGAGAGCTGAAGCAAAACCACTGTCTCAAAATCATGTTGAGCCTAAGGAAAATTAAAGTTTGTCATGAAAATTCCATTAAGAGACCCCTTTTGTTGTTTTTTTTGACTTCACAGAAAAGAAGAGCAGCAAGAAGGCAGAGAGTGCACAGGCTGCAAAGTTAAACAAGACTTTTGCACCTGTCTTCCTGAAAGGCCTGACTGACCTCAAAGTAATGGATGGAAGTCAAGTGATAATGACTGTGGAGGTATCAGGTGTGTAGCTACAGAGCAGTATTATTTAAAACATTTAAGTCCTGCTGCAAAGTGTGTGTTTTTTCCACACTTTTAGCAGGTGTCTTTGCATTGGAAATAATATTTCTAGGAACCAGTTTTTTAAAAGCTATTTTGGTCTAATATGACTGTGTCAGTGTGACTGAACATTGTCCATTGTTAACATGTTCAGACCTGGAGAAGTTTTTCCTAATTGGAATGATATAAGTTTCATATTGGTCCTCTCGTTGAAGTGGAATTGTAACAGGTTTTGTTGTGAACCAAACAAGACTGAGTTCCTGTCAGCTGGGGTAAGTTTAGTGCTGCAGAAAGAGCAGTTCTGTTATGATTTTTGGTATAAGAGACTCTTAATAATCATCTTTGTGGTGTCTACAACTCATTCTCCCTCACTGTCATATACATTCTTCCCTTATTCATTTGTATTTTAATCATAATAAGACAGACTATTTCACATTACAGAGCATTGACAGAGTTAATAATAGATATTCCTGAATGTTTTGAAGATGAAAATTGCAGAATCAGGTGGCAAAAAAAAAAAAACAAACCCTCAAACTTGTTCCTTTTCTTAATTGAGATATGGTGGGGGTTTGTGTCTCTGTGTCTGTGTCTCAGATTTTTGTTGCTTGCTTTTGTTTAGCTAACCCATCTCCTGAAATTATCTGGCTGCATAATGGGAAAGAAATCCAGGAGACAGAAGATTTCCACTTTGAGAAGAAAGGCAATGAGTACAGTCTGTACATCCAGGAGGTGTTTCCTGAAGACACAGGCAAATATACCTGTGAAGCCTGGAATGAAGTAGGAGAAAGTCAAACACAGGCTACATTGACAGTTCAAGGTACAAAGTTCCTCTTCACCTTTTAAATGGTGAAAGAAAATTATTATTATTATTATAATGTGCTGGAAGAATGTCTATTTAAAATACATGAGTGTTTATAAGGTTTGTTGTGAAGGACACTCAAGTTCTCAGTCTCTGCATTTGAATTTAAAAGGATATTGAGCAGAGGCAGCTTTAAAAAAATCTTTTCACTCTGGAACATTATGTTACTATTTCAAAAATGCATTCCTCAGTCCTATTTCAAGGGACAGTGTAAAACTGCTAAATGCAGCTTCAGATTATAACTATCAGGCTTACTTAACTATGGATTAAAGTAAACCTTTTAATATGTTTTTGTTTCTAACTGAAGTCCTTAGTATTTGAAAACACTTTCTAGGAGTTAGGTATCCTGGCTTTATTGGTAGCATTGTAGTGCTGGCAGGTAAGGAAAACAAGACTTCTGCAATCTGAGAACTAGCTGCAAAAAAATTTGGCTTTGAATCTCCTCACATGATGTTAACCCCACAGCAAACACTCAAGTACCTACAAACTTCCAGTGACTGGGCACACACTACCTTTGTGCCAGGGAATTTATTTAGTATTACTGAATATTGACATTTCCTCATAGCCACTACTGAGAATTAGTGGAAATCACTGTGAGACTTTTATTATTTTTAATGTAGAATATCTTATCTGCAGTGTTTGAGAGAGCTGTTTAGTCTGTTGTCACTGTCTGCTCTGAATTCAGACCTTCCTCTCTCCTCCAGTCCCCCCTGAGATCCAGCCTTGGGGTCAGTCTTCTATAATAAATGCAATTTTATGCAGTTGTTAATGATGATTTATTGCATGTGCTCTCAACTGCACAGCAGTCATAGTACTGTTACTTGTCCTTCAAGCTATTCCTACCCATATTCTCTGAGGACAAATCTCTAAGATTCCTTTTAGGGCAGCTTTAAAGTCCCTTTGTTTTGCTCTTAATATAAGCTTGGATTGAGCCAGTAAAGTGCCAAGTAAATGATTAATTTTAGTAGAACACAAGTTACTTCCAAAATTAAAGTCTGACTTATTTTCAGATTAAAAACTTATACTCTGCATGTTCAAAATAACTTTCCTTGCCTGTGATTGCTTTCTCTGAAATTAGTTAGCTCAGTGATGACATTCGAGCTTTGCATTTCCTTCTGATTTATAAACTTTGTTTGTAAACTACAGAACCTCAGGATGGTATTCAGCCCTGGTTCATTAGCAAGCCGAGATCAGTGACAGCAGCTCCTGGGCAAAATGTCCTGATATCCTGTGCCATTGCTGGAGATCCTTTCCCCACTGTTCACTGGTTTAAAGATGGGAAAGAAATCATGCCAGGAACAGCGTGTGAAATCCTGCAAAATGAAGACATCTTCACACTGGTCTTGAGGAACGTGCAGCCTCGTCATGCAGGGCAATATGAAATTCAGCTCAGGTATGTTTGTTTGTGAAGAATAAGGTTGTTCCCTCTGACCAATTAGTTCTGTTTACCCTCAAGTTAAATTTCCCACTTGAAGAAGACAGGAGTTCTGTCCTATTCAAGTGAAACATTAGGGTACTAAAGGAACAGAATAATTCTGAGAGATAAAAAAGAATCAATAAAACTCCAAGAGAAGAGAGGAAACACAAGAAGAGTCAGAAAATAAGGTCAAAGCAGTATGGTTTCTTTTTGTGATCCTGTAAAACAAAGTTTTGTGGCAGCAAAATGGGAAACAATTTCTAGCAAGGAAAACCACAATCAATGTCCTGAGTTTTGGAGCTATTGTTTATCATGTTTGGCATCTCAAGGTGTTAGTAAGGATATCTCTTTCCATGGGAGCAACCTGTCTAGGGAGGGCTGTTACACAAGATCCGTACCTTTGAGGGGAAAAAGTGGTTTCTGGCCATGTTTGAAATGCCTGAATCTTACATGAAAGTTGTAGTCTCCTTTTGCTGACTTTCTCATTTCTATCTTTGAAATGACTCACCTTGGTGCTTTGAACATCTTGTCATTCCTACAAAATCTGGAAGAGTTGTTTCGAATTTAATTTTATTTTATTCTGGTAGAGTAACTATCCTTTAAATGAAGAGTTAGATTTGCTGGCTCTTTACCATGTAGAAAGCACCACAGCACTGTCCCCCTCCAATGGTGAAGATTACATATCCCCTATGTGGTTGTAGAAAACACAGTGTAAAACTTCAAAGTGATGTTGTCATTCCATGCTATTTACTGATGTATCACAGATGTAGTTGCTTTACTTGGCTAGTGTTTGTGCCATTCTTTATTGAAATTACTTCATCATCATGGACATTTGAGTCCATTACACTGGAAGAAAATGATTTGGTTTGCTCCACACACTAACATTTTAGTCCAGGTACACTAGTCTGAATTGTCCTTTGTCTACCTGCAAAAAAATTATTCATATATTCTTAATACAAGGAGGGAGGGAATTCCTTAATAAATTCAACCTATTTATCTTGTAAAAAATTAGTTTAATTTTTTATAGTTATAGGCTTTTTTCCAACCAGCATGGCCCAAATGATGGATATGTCACTACGTAGATTCCTCCTAGCTTTGTTTTCATAGACTATCACAGGCAGACACAAACTAACTTCAGTATATTTCAGTATTTAAAGTCAAATGAGACACTCACTTTTCACCACAAAAGGGTGTTTTAGAAAATTATAGCTGTTAAATATCACGATTTCCTATAATGAAGTTTTTCTACGTTTAATTTCAAGTCTTATTAATAAAATTTATGTAGGTAGAGCCACATGGGCTATGACCTTCTTGCAAATCAGCTTTCCAGATTTAGGCCCTTTGTAGTCTGCAATAAGTTGTGAACTGGCTCATTTCAGACCTGGCTTGTTTGCAGTTGGCTCAGGTCATCTGGGACTCTCATAATGCTCATTTGAGCAGGCCATGTCTGCAGAAATCTTTGCATTTCTTTTCCTTTGGGGATCAGGGGTGTTTCTAACGCTCAGTACCTCTGGCAGGATTAGAAATGCCAGTTCAATTTCATTCAGGTCACCAACCTTGACAGGAGAGAGCAGAAACTGTGAGAATTGCTGCCTTCTGCTGGTACATTTCCACACTTCTGTCTGTGTGCCCTGGACATGGGCATCTTCTCTTACAGTTTGCTGGTAGATTCACTTGAACTGAAAAGAAAATGAGATACTTCAGCAAAACTTCAGGGGTGAAAGAATGAAAGAGGACAAAGGAGAGCCAAGAGTGCTTTGTGGAGGGTTTTGTTGGGACTGATGTAGGAAGTCAGCTGTATTGATCAGGTGTGGCTGGTGGTCACTCAGGCCAAATTCATCACTGGAGCCCTTTTTTCAAAGTGGAAGTCTGACATTATCGTAACTCTGAAACGTACACTTAGAAAATAAATTATTTCAGACAATTAGTAGATGAGAGGAATTTTTTGGGGGAAGGAGAAAAAGTAAAGTTGTAGCAAAAAACTACAGCTGTGTTGAAAACAACACAGCAGATTACATGCTAGTTGCAGCTGTTCCCTAATCCTTTCACTGGAGAAATAACTGGGGATCCCACAAAGATCAATGTTGGCTTTTTCTGATCCATAAGTAATGCTGTGCTGCAATTAGAGCAAAGGGAATGCTGATACCTCATTTTACTTTCCTGTCATTTGTAAAATTCCAGTTAATGTTCAGGGAACAGAAAGTTGTATGTTTTTAGGCACTGGTTGAATACTATGAGTAACAGAGAAATAAATATGCTCGGGCATATCCAAGGAGCCAGAAGTCAGCTGTGTAACTTCAAGTTAGCAATAGAGTTGCAGTGATCTTCAGCACTCAATTTAGTCTTGACTAAATAGCTGTTTAACTGGCTGCATTTGTCTTGAATACCTGATTGGGAATTGTTTATATATTCAGAAACAGTTTTAACAGTACCTGAGAGGGAGAGAGCAGCATTTTGTGTCTTTCTCTCAAAAACTCCTACAAAGTTCATTACAAAATATGGAATAACTGAGAAAACATTAGGCAACTCACTAAAGAATTTACAGAGTTGACAGTAGGCTATTTTTAAACATAATAATTTTCATTTCAAATAAAATGTACAGCTCCTTTTCACATATTAATTTTAGAAGCAGGTTGCATATCTTCTCTCAGGGAGTTACTCCAAGTCTCTTAATTTAGTCTGGGCATGGTTTCCTACTAGTGTTAATTATTTTCCAATTTTCTTCTCCATTATTCTTAAGCTCTAAATTCTGTCCTAATACCTCCACAATTCTCCTTTTGTGTTGGCTGCTCACAAATTAAAGCTCTGGTTCTTTCTCCTTTAGTCAGAGTGAGCTGATGAGGACATGGAGCCCAGTGTGATCCTGGTGTGATCCATCCATGATTTCTTGGCTTTCTGTCTCACCATCCCTCAACAGACTGCTAAGTCTGGCTTTTAGCAGAGTAGTCATTGTAGCCTCTCCTGGTTCTTTTTTTGAAGCCTATGATTCCTCTACATTTCCATCTTTCATTTTAATTGTCCTAATAATGTTCCTTTGAGCCTGTTATGTCTCAGGCTCAGAGGAATAGTATTGCAGAAATATTAAAAAAACAGATTTTCCCACTTCCGTAGTTCATCTGTTGAAATTTGGACATTTTACAGCCTGCAAAATGATTAAAATGGAAAATAAAAATCCTTTTCCTTGCTCATAAAAACAAAGATACCTATTTCCCCTCCTGTCCTTTGCATCCTTCCAGTGATGCAGGCACTGGTATTTTGTTATCCCAATATGACTTTGCTGTGTTCTTTCACTCAGTGTGTACATCATAAATGAAGATGTAAACAAAAAAACCCTGTGAGACCTGGACAGGGACTGTATTTGTTGAGAAAAACCTTTATAGCAATACAGTCATCACGAGAGACCTCAGAAATCATCCTGCAGTTCCCTAAACAAATCATCTGCTATGTTAAACTTTGTCTTCTCAGACATCAAGTGTTTTCCTTCTCCCCCACTCCATCTTCCATAAAAGTTTGGTTAGTGTTGATTAGTATTGATTTAGACATTTTGATAATCTGCTTAAAATCAGGGGAAAACATTTATTTTATAAATCAGGGATACCTTGAATACTCTGCAATTCAGGTTATATAAAAAGCTCTCCTAAGATTACATTTCATTAGGCTAAACAGTAAATATAAACATAAACAGTAAATATAAACAGCTCTGTCTTTCTGTAAAATTCAGTTTGCAAACCTTGCTTTCTCCTATCAATACATTGTCTATTTTTATAGAAGAAAACCATTACTCTTTCTTGTTCCATTCTCCTACTTAGTGCTGAAAAATGCAAATGAAATTATTGTTCTTTTGGCTATAAAAAGCTTTTGGCAAAACCCTCAGATGAAGTAAATGAGTGCATCCTCTTTGAAGCCAGTAGAGTTGTTCTGCTTTACACCAGCTAGAGTTGTTATCCAGTAGATTAGTTGCTTTCTTTGGGGCTAAAGATTTGTGGAGTCTGGACTGTCTCTCCATTGAACTCACAGAAAAGTTGCAAAACCTCCTTCTGAGGATTTGCAGTTACCTGAACTGAAGCACCAGCTATAAGTTGGGATCAACTTCTTTGCCCCTTTCAGTTCATTCTTGAAAAAATGTCATTTACTCTGCAATATTTATTTCACACTTGGTAGGCTGGTAGGAAATTTCAGTATGTCCCCCCAGTATAATTACAACTTCTTTTTTTCCTGTTCCTCCAGGGAGTGATTCCTAGGGACATGCAGACAATAAGTCTCATCTAAGGTTCAGTGAAAATATTTGAGTAGGTTCTGCCAAGAAACTAGTATTTCAAGATATTTTGAACATAAAAGCCATTCCAGGGAAAACTGATCCCACAATAGGACACAGAGCTATTTTTAAAATTGCCTCAGGCTTTGCAGCTGGGGTTTTATTTGTTTTTGGTGGGTTTTTTTATTAATATTCCTTGACATTTAAAGATAAGTCCTGTGCATAAGCATTCTACAGAATAGTCCTGCAAAAGTCAACACTTCCAGGCACTTCTTCACAGGAAAGCTACTAAGCACAGGTTTGATCCATGTCTATCACTGTTCCCCAATAACACAGCCACTAAGATCTGTCTGTGTCTAGGGTTTTGTTGATAAAATGCCAACACAGAGAACCTCAAGCTGCACAAGTAGTATTGTTATTGCTAAGTTTCAAAACAGCAGAGACATGAAGCACTTGAAGGTGTGTCCATGTACTGCAAGGCTTTCTTTTTTCTAACTGCCCCTAAGCATCTTTGTCTTGTCTGGATTCTAAAATTGCATAAATGTAAAAATATTTAGCAAGGTTCCGGAACAATTCTTGATTGAAATTTGTATCTCAATCACCCAATCCTTCTTATTTTTATTGGTTTGTCTCTCTTTTTCCATCCTGTGATCTCCAAAGTGGGTTAGTGTTTTTAACTTCACCTTTTTTAGATTCTGCCACTTCACCTTTTTAGATTCAGAAGACAAAAGTATGTTCTCCCTGCTCCTAAAATCATCCATTTGATTTTACTGGGAGCAGGCCCTGGGAAGGCTACACTCCTGAACAGACAGAGACTCAAGGTTTGTATCCTGTAGATTGATTTTCAGCCGTTCACTTGAATCAGAAATCATAATTAAGATCAAAAAAACTACCTTGTGAATCATTTTTCCATCTAGGTACTTGTATGTCCCACTGCTGCCATAATTTGTAAGTGCTTCCCAAGGTTTTAAAAATAGAAAGAACAAAATGCTCTCCTTCTTTCTTACCCCCTCCTTTATTTTCCAAACCCTGTGAAAAATAGCTTACTTTAGAAGGATTTACTTTGCCTGCCTTATTTGCTTCTCCGCATATGCAAAGAATTTGCAGAGGGAAAGATGCCTTGCAGAAATGGGTCCTGCAGAAATGCTACCATTCTTCACAGTGGTCAGGACCACATTCAGTATCCCTGAATTCCTCTCCTGGGATAGTGCTGTCTCTGTTACTTCAACCTCTCCCACTGGTGACACAATTCTTGTGGACAAATATTTCTGCCACACAGTCACGGCAGAAGCTGAGCAGGGCTGCCTCAACATTTAATGTACTCTGCAAATTGTCTATACTTCAGCATGCAGGGCTTGTCCTTTGTCAGCTTTGGATTGGTTTAAAGTCCTGAGCAGGAGGGCTCTTCAGGTAAACCAGCAGCCTGCTAAAGCCCTGCAGCACCAGTGAATGAGCAGTTCCAGAGCTCATCTGCTTTCCTTAAAAACTTCGGAGAAGCAGAGAGAAAACCTCATGAGCTCCAAGAGTGCCAAAAGGGCCCAGTTTGAAAGGCATTATATGAAAACTACAGATTTTCAGCAATGTTGCCATAATTTTATGCCAATTGGTATGTTGGGAGGAGATAACATGCTATTATTTTTATTTATCTTTCCATTTGTCTTGCCTTCTTTCTATTCCTCTTGCTTCCAAATGGAGGCCACACGTAAGAGTGGAATGTAAGAATGGCAGGTCTCCAGTGCAGGGCTGAGTTAAATACTCTCTGCATTGACTTGGATCCTCTCCTGCCCTTTGGACAGTTTCTGTTTGGTGCTCAGATGTTATCTAGTTTTTTGTATTGAAGGAAATGAGGATTGTGGTTTTCAGTGCTGTCCTCATGGATTGCCTTCAACAGCAGTTTGTAGTGTACATATTCTGATTTACAGGATATAAAAGTGTATAAAACATTTCTCTGGCTTCTTGTTGTTAGTGGTCTTGAAGTCAAATAAGATATGCTTCTATCACCAGAGCCTTTACTTTGCAATCCAGGTACTTTGATCAAACCCATAAATTTCTTTGTAGTTTTCATATTAGGCTGGTCCACTGTTTCTTTTTCTGAAGCAATAGAAATCAAGGGGAGTATGTCTGAAAAGGTGGTGGCACTAATTGCTCTCATAAAGACAAAGCTTTGTGCTGAACCTGTGATTCTGTGATCTGTATTAATTATCTTGCTTTCACTGCAAGTTAAAAATGGTTGAAATTAGAGGAGTTTTTTTATCCAAACAGAACCATATCTAGGAAAGTATTTCCATGCTCTATTTAAAAACCAGACCAGACAATATATTTATGGCAAGCTAACAGTCCTGAGTCCATGTTTTAAACTTCAGGGCTAAGTCGACTTGAAGGTGCTCTTATCTAGCAAGTTCAAAGCAGAACACAGCTGGGAAAACCTGCCTCTCTTGCCTTCCTCCCCTCCAACACATGTGTTTTGCTCATGTCCAGGAAATGTTTTCAGTAGCAAAAATTATTTTTGTTCAAAAAAGATAAATAATCCAAGACTTTTCTTGTCTATTTACAAACTTAAACCTAAACTGGGAAGGACAGAAGTGTTTTCACTAATAAAAGATAACTCTAATCCTTAATCAACTCAAGTCTGGTTTTTTAGTAGTCAGGGGAGCGGTGGCAATAGTTACACAACTGCTGCCCTGTGGGAGTTAAATTTTGCTTTTGGCATCTCCTGTGTTAAGCAGAGAAGAGCTGTTTGGGGCTGGAAGAATGATATATATCTGCGGGAGGGAGGGAGCTGCAGGGGAGCAGGGAGCACTTTAAATGAATTCTTTAATGGGAGCCCTTTCCAGAAGGCATCCGTGGTATTCCTCTGCAAAAGGAAGAATAAGTACTCAGCACCATATATGGTGACACTTTTATGTTTTTTAATATAAACATGTACAGGCTGGAGCAATCGTGTAGATAGGTTTTGCTGATTGGTTGGGCCAGAGGGGAGGGAAGGAAATGAGACCCTGTTTTTAATATCTTAACATTAGAAAACTTAAGAGCTTGGGTTTGAATAAATAAACAGTAGGCAGAGTTGGAAAGATTTTCAGCTTTGCAAAATAGCCCTTTCCTCTGTCTTGATTTTCCAGCTTTTGTATTTATTTTCCTTTAGCTTGTTTGTTTGCAGCTGCATCGTCTGCAAATTGCTTTGATTTTTGTTCAGGGAGTATGTTGTTCCCAGTGCAGATAGCAGCAGATCAGTAAAAGCTATTTGACATAGCTTGACTCCAAGAATAAGGGGACCAAATCCACTCAGTCAATCCCCACACTGCTGGGCACAGAAAAGAGGAACCCCACACTGGGTTTGAGCTGCTTTAGTGCAAAACACAATCACTTCTCTCAGGCAAGTTACAGAGCAAGAGAGCCCTTTTTTTCTGATTTCACTTAAATATTTCAGGAACCAAGTTGGAGAATGCAGCTGCCAGGTGTCTCTCATGCTGCGGGAGAGTTCAGCTTCCACAGCAGAAATGCTCAGAGAGTGAGTATTTTTCCCAGGGACTTGCATGGGTGGGTTCTATTTTTTGCTCTGTTAATTCCCTGCCCTTACAGACCCAGGCTGGCTGCTGTTCAACCTAATCCCCAAATGTGACCTAACAAATTGTTTTCATCATACAAGCTAAGCACATTGTACCAAGCCAGAGTAGAGGAGATCTTTTTTGTTTGTGCCCTTATATGGCTCCTGAAGTCATCATTGATGCAATAAACTAATGGAGTATGCTCCTCTAATCAACCTCCCCTTCTATAAACACATTTTGTTCCTGCTCTGAGATTGTTCCCTGACATTTTTAAACCAGCCCCTTTCCTGGCTCTCTCTTTCTTTTCTTTTTCGGATCATAGTGGGAGGGAATCAGCCAGCTCTGGAGAGCAAAGAGATGGTGGAGATCATGGTAAACTAACATCTGGTAGAACAAGTGGCTTCAAAAAGAACAGCAGTGTAACCAGAGTAGCTGAGGAAGAGCAGGAGGACGTCCGAGGCGTGCTGAAGAGGCGAGTGGAAACTCGGGAGCACACAGAGGAGAGCCTGAGGCAGCAGGAAGCTGAACAACTTGATTTCCGTGATATTTTAGGCAAGAAAGTCAGCACCAAAAGTTTTTCTGAGGAGGAACTGAAAGAAATCCCAGCCGAGCAAATGGACTTCCGAGCAAACCTGCAGCGGCAGGTCAAACCCAAGACCTTGTCAGAGGAGGAAAGGAAAGTCCATGCTCCCCAGCAGGTGGACTTCCGCTCTGTGCTGGCCAAGAAGGGCACCCCAAAAACCCCACTGCCAGAGAAGGTGCCACCTCCTAAACCTGCAGTTACAGATTTCAGGTCTGTGCTGGGCTCCAAGAAAAAGCCACCTGCGGAGAATGGCAGCGCTGGCACCCCTGCACCAAATGCTCGTGCCAACTCTGAAGCCCAGAATGCGACCCCCAATTCTCAAGCCCCTGTTGCCAAACCAGCAGTGAAAAAAGAGGAGAAGAACGACAGAAACTGTGAACACGGGTGTGCAGTGGTGGATGGCGGAATAATTGGGAAAAAAGCTGAAAACAAAGCACCAGTGAGCAAACCACCAGCAAGCAAAGGAGCAGCACCCTCCTTTACAGAGAAGCTTCAGGATGCTCAAGTAGCTGATGGTGAAAAATTGGTCTTACAATGTCGGATTTCCTCTGATCCCCCTGCAGCTGTCACCTGGACTCTAGACAGCAAAGCCATCAAATCATCGAAGTCCACTGTCATCTCCCAAGAAGGTAAATTAATTGCATTACAAGCCAGCTGGATGGCACACTGTTACATCTGGCTCTTGATTAATAACATTTAGTTCATTAAAGGTAATGCAATATTTATTTGAGTCCTGTGCCAGTAACTGTTTCCAGATGCAGCTTTCTTATTATTTCAGTGGAGTACACAAGGAACAGTATTGTTTGACATTTCTTGCAGATTCTCCTTTAACAGCCTGCAGATGTAAATTTTATAAAGTTGAACTTCGTGCATTTTTAAATGCTGTTTACATTGCTAACGCTGTTTAAGGAGCTGGTACATGATGCTTATTTAAACTGAACTTTAAGGATTTAGAACATAGAAAACATAATAATATTATTGCTGGTTTACAAATTCTAATTGAATTCTTCTGTATGTTTAATATTTCATGCTTTTATTGCAATAAGAAACACAGAAGCAAAGAGGGGTTGTGTCACAGAAAGAAATTACTACAACTACAAGTTAAGATCAGAGTTGAGAACAGATTTCCAGTGTATTTAATGCCCCACCACAGATGCTTCTGTTGCCATTACATGCACTGAAATATTTGAACTCGACTGGCTTGGTGACTTTTAACTAACTTCAAAACTATATAGAATTTGGTAGAAGTCCCGAGAGGGAATACTTACTGTTTTTAAACTGAGTGATTCCTTTATATTTCAGATTTTGGATGATCAACCCCACTAGACTGTTTTTTGCATTGAAGTTAATGTTGTAGCTGGACAAAATATATTTTCCTTGTGACAAAAATATGAAGGAAGGACAATTGATAGCACAAAAAAACCTTCTTTACTTCATATATGTTTTATAAAATACTGAGGGAATTATCTTGAAAATTACACCCTCTGACACACCATAGCAAAACAGTTCATGTTCACAGTGAAAACTATAGCTTGACACAGGGGTCTGCACTCTTACTTTTGAATCTTCCTTCATTTAATCCAGACTATTTCTGGTGTTACCAAATGAGGACCAAATCAATATGCAGAACAGATCAGTGCATCCTTGTGCAGTGTTCCAAGCAGAGTAACACAAGCATTCTCCTGAAGTGGATGCAGTCAGAAATAGCATTGTGTTCAGAGAGGCTTGGGGTACTCAAGTAGTGCATTAAGGAAATAGCAAACTAAGTAGATGGAGAAAGGCAAATGGTAGCAGGTGCATTGTGCCTGGTCTGTGTCTGAAATAGCATTATTTTTAAATTTTTTTTTTGAGTACATGTTGATTTTCACCCAAGGGGACTGTCTAGAATAAGGCTACGTGTCATGTACATGAGAAAACATTGACTGGTGGAAATGTCATTCTTATAAAAAGGACTGACAGAATCAGTCAGTTTAACTAGCCTTATGCTGGAAGCAAGATTTCAAGGCTTTTCTTGGAGCTGCTCAGAGTGAAAAAGAATTTGTACATCCCAAAGTTCCATGACTCCTGTCAAAGTACATCAGATAGACAGCACCTCTGTACCAAAGCTTCTGAGCTGTGGTGGAGCCTCCTAAAGTCTTGAAGCTTTAGTGTTATGGTGCTGCAGAGAGCTGTTTACTGAAATAATCTGAGTAATTGACTGTTCTAATCTTCCTTCTTATTCACTCTATGAAATGGTACTGTGGAGCTGCAAATTGAGGGTAGCTGTTTACAGTGAAGTGATCCTGATGTCCAGCTCTGCCACGTGTGTGAGCAGGGCACGAGGCTTCTCCCATCCAGTTTGTCTGGTCTGGGTGGCACTCCTGGTCACATTAACAGTGCTTTCCAGTGAGGTCAGCATCAAAGCCCTGCATCAGGAATCCACTGTTCCAGGACAGCTTCCTGCAGGGGGTGAAGACACTGTCCTTATGTTCCACTTGTACCTGCACTGTTACATTTGAATCCTGCTTAGCAGTCAGTGTTATCAGTATCTCAAAGTCAGGCTTTCTTTTGCACGTATTTGCAGAGGATCTTGGAAAGAAATATTACACAGGGCTGTAAGTTTTGTCCTTTAATGGAAAGACAAGGAATGAGGATTAGAACTGTTTTGTTTTTTTTTAAATCTTATTACATACCCTCTGGTACACTGAGAGGATGCATTGCATGATGGTCAGTTTTGTTTTTTTCCTGACAGTACCTGCTAGCTTTGGCTTTTGGAGAAGAATGTGTTGCTGCTCTCTCACTCTAAGATTCTTTCATGCCAACTGTTAGGTAATTAACTAGGTATGCATGATACTTTAAGTTCCAGATTTCATAGAGATTCAGTTTTTTTCCCCTAATTAGCAACACATACATACTTGAGGGAACCAAGAGAGGAGAAGGAATAACTGGAATAACTTGAGAAATATCAAATTGATTCAGTATCAGGAAATACTGTTCAATAGGGAAGCTGTGTGGATTAGTCCCATAGCTAGTGTTTGGAGCAGCTTTTTAAACATGGAGAACAGCAATAACACGGGATGCAGTACACAGCAGGCCAAAGGCAAAGTCCCAGTTTCCATCCTTTGCCCCGAACACTGAAAATGCAACACCGTCACACCCACAGGTGTACTTCAGCAGCAATGCTTTTGTCAAAGCTTGGACCAGCATTTAATGGGCCCTGGAGATAATGCCCTAGTGTCATCCTCACCTGAAAGAAGGCTGAGTCTGTGGGGAAGAAGAGGAATTCAGAGCAAACAGACCTAGTTCACCTCAGTGGGTTTAGATCTTGCAAAGCCATTTTTTATTTCTTTGGTATGACCTTGCTCCTCCTTGTGTTCAGCAACAAAATTCACTATGGAAGGGGATAGACTAGATCTGTTCTTAGCCATTTCACCTATTGCTTTTGTGTTCTTGTGATGTTGTGACCACAGGGGTTTCTTTTCAGATTCAACAGAGGTATTTCACAATAACTTATATGTTCTTAAAGAGTACTGGAAAATTTCCTGTCTGGGGTAATGCATGTCTGTCTGCTTCTTGGCCATACTACTAGGCCATCTTAGTATGGGATATTGTCTCACAAACTGGTCAGAGTAAGTAATGCATTAACCCCCAGAATGCTATGTATTTGTGTTTTGGAAATTGAAATATTCCTCTCTGTCATTCCCTAAATAGAGAAAAAAAAGAAAGCAAAAAGAGGCAAAAGATAACTGATCTCCTGGTGCCAAATATATTGTGATGATAAATACATAAAATTCTGTTTCAGGAACAAATGATTAAACAGGGGCATATTTGGCCAGGAAGGTCAAACTTAGAAGTATCCTTGTGTGTAACAGGTTCACAGGATAGGCAAACAGTGTAAAAACTATGTGTAGTCACTCACTGAAAGTAACTTTCCTTGGCATATTTGTCCTAGTTGATAGTGAGGTCCCTTACCAGGGCCTTTGCCAAAAGAAAAGCTAAACCCTGCTGCAAAAATGACCATCTTCAGGCATATTTATGCAACATTTGTGCTGATTTCTGTTAGTTAATCTAGGGCTTGCAGTGTATTCCATTATTCCAGGGTTAAGTTTAGTTAGAAGTCAGGATCTGGGCAGCATTATACCGAAAGTTGCAATCACAACAATAGCTGATACCATGTCATGTTCCTTCCATTCTCCATGATTTCCCTTTGAAATCATAAACATCAGTACACTTGTTCTTCCATTCCTTTTTACAGTTACCCAAATAGTACTCTGTTGGTTGATTGGCATGATTTTTTTGCTTAATGTATCATTTTTATGACAAAGTGAGCTCTTGCACTATTTTTCTGACATGGTACAATTTTATTAGTGGTTTGATTTTATATTTTTCTTCTTTTAAACTTGTCAGAGTGCAATTTTATACATTCCTGAGATAGATATTACTGTGCTTTTTGCTCATTAAAGATCAAAATTAATGGTTATTAGCAATAAAAAGAGTACTCATAAATTAGAGTATTATGCATTCATACAGTATCGAGTAGATGATGCATGGTTAAAAGGCACTTTAATGGGAGGCTTCTTTGCCTGAAGTTATGAGGTGCTTTTTGTTTGGAAAAAAGAGTTTTTAAGAGAAGTCTCTAGCAGACATTGCAGTGAAGTTAGACATATAAGGACTGAGTAGAACAATTTTCCTCACAGGGTGAACGCTTTAGAGCAGAACCCATTTTGTTTTACATTTGTATAGCACTGACCTGGCAGTGCCCAGTGCTGCTGTCCTGCTGTGTGACTTGCTCTTGGACAGAAAGTCCACAGGGAAAAGTTCTTGTGTGGTTCCAAAAGCTGTTCTGTAAGATGGCAGTGAAAGGGTTTTGCACAGCATCCTTGGTAAACTGGCCAGCTGAGGTGTACGAGTGAATGCAAATCTAAACTTGCACATTTGCCTTTTTTAGTCAGCCTGCTCAGCTTTTTTTGGGTAGATTTAGATCTGTGACTCTACAGATGAAAGAGGAACTGTCTAATACAGATTCAGGTAGCAGTAATGGTGTAGCTTAGAAAATGCCCTGAGTTTGTATTGCTTTGTCTAAGCCAGCATTTCTTTTCTTCCCAGGTTTCTTGGCAGCATAAAATTTGGTAATCTTATTAGCAATAATGCCTTAACAACTTTCTTGTGACTTAACTCCTAAATCTTCCTATCAGTCATGCAAGTCTATGTCTGCCAGTCTGGCTAGGATCTGCTGTGACTTTTTGTTTCCTTTTTCAATTAAATTTGAGCAAGAATTTGGTGTATAATTATCATGACTCTATGTACTGCTGAAAGTAGATGCATTTTGCACCTTACAAAAGCTTATTCAGAAAGTTTTAAGTTTAGGGAGATCATCTGAGCATCAGTTCTGACACAATACCATGTTTGTCACAGGCCACATTTCCCTCTGCACTTTCATTTATGTTTGAATCTATCCTCTTCCAGAAAATGCATGTAGTGTGGATTTAAATCCAGCAAAAGAGAGACATTTCGTATAACCACTGGCAATTTATTGCAAAGTCTAACTGTTCTAGTAAGAGTTTTGTTATTAAGCCAAGAAACAAAACAATGCCTTATTTCTAACTTGATAGAAAGTCTTTGACTCTCTAACCAAGATAGCTTTCAGCTTTTTTTTTGAAACCTGACAAGTCAAGTTCTTACTAAGTTTCTCTCCATGATACACTTCATCCAACCCTTGGAGGTTCGGGGGTTTTGGTTTCTTTCCTGCACCTCCTCTCCAGCTGCTGTTTGTTAGTTTATTATCCTATTTAAAAAAGAGGAAGCAGAATTGTGTGTGGGTATCAGCATCAGTGAGAAGGAGATCACCTTCCTGTTGCTGCCCTCACTGGAGGTTATTGGTCCTCTGTCTACCTCACAACGTTGGAACTCATGTTTGTCATTTCTCTACTAAACCTTTAAACCTTCTGAATATTCAGCATCCCTTGCTGCCATCAGTGCTTGTCTTTTCACTATCTCAAGCCCCATTTTCTTTGAGTGAATGGGACTCAGCTTAACAAGTAAATGAGATTGTTTAGGAGGACTACCCTGCCATCTTTTCCCTTTCTAAGATTCCTTCTAGAATTTGTAAATTTGTAAAAATTAATTTATGAGTATTTCCACATCATTGATTAAAATATTTAATAACTTGGGTCTAGTCTGATAACAGAGGAAATCCACTAGAAACAGGCTGAGTGACGATTTCCTATTGTCAGCTTCTTCAAGAGATCCTTATTTTGGCAGCTCTAACTCCTCCTAAATCAATGTCATTAATATAGTAATGTAGCAATAACTACAAGCAGGAAAATGTAATATATCACTAATTTTTCAGTAAAGGTTAAGAAAATTACCTTTGCACAGATACATTTGCTGGTTAAATGTCTAATGTTGTGCATCATGAAAGTAGGTTTCTTACATTGTTTTTCTTAAAACTGTCAATTATCAATAATTACATTTGACATTTTTTCTTCTCTGAAATTCATGTGTTTTTTTCACTGTTTTTTTCTGTTGTCATTGTAACGGTAGTCAATATTTTCCTGGTCAATCCACTTCTCATTTTTAAACATGACTGTGACACACATATTTGAACATGCCTTGACAGTTTGAGATTTATTAGAAAATCAGCACTATAAGCCAATGAGTTCCTTAAAAAATTATTGTCTCCTAGGCAAAATTTCTCACAGACCAATGTGTATTAATATTGCCTAAATACTCCACAGTACTTTCTTACACCATGGGACACATTTGAGAAAGCCATAAACTTGGGTCTGCATCATGGGTAGGAATCAGGAGGTGGGCCAGCTAGATGCCAGTGTGGGGAATAAGACTAAGGAGCTGTTTTTTGCTGGTTTGTGTATTTGTTTTATATCTGAGGTTGACTTTCTGTGGAGTTTCATGGAAAGAATGCAGAAGCCTGGAGATATTTTAAACTGTCTTGCACTATTTTTGAGTAAGTCAGAGAACCCTTTAATAGCGTAAAATTCAAGAGTAAGGCTTTGTGTATCTAAACCAGAGTCTCCAGTAAACCATCAGCTTCTGTGGCTGTTAAGGTCCTTTCTGGAGCTGCACCAGTCCTACTGTCTAAGTGGTAGATTCCAGTATTCATGTTTATTCCAATCCTGCATTTTGTGACAATTTTTAAGGATCATCCATGGCATGGTTCCTAAAAAAATTAGAGGGTTGAAGGAACAAAATAGATAGCAAACATTTTTAGCTGACTGGGATTTGTCAAGTGCCACAATTTTGGAATACCCAACTGGAGTAACCAGTCTGGGCTTTCTAGCAGTTCTGAGAAAATAAGCTTGTTTCAGGTCATGATGGGGTTTGCAGAGGAAATACCAAATACTTCATTTGGCCTTCTAGCCCCGGGAATTGACTCTAGCTCTAGATCACAGAATATAGGCCTGGTTGGGAAGTTTCCTGTTCTTACAAAGTCTCATCAAGTTTTGCCTGGTGGTTTGGGGTTTTTTCCTGGTTTTCTGTGAAAATGAGGTTTCAATAGCCATTCTTCCTCAGCCTCCCCTTATACTCCTGATCCAACCTGACCAAATCTTTCTTATCCATTGGCCAGTTTTGTACCTAGTCCTAGTAGTTCACTTTCATGAATACTAGTGGCTACATAAAGGAGAGTGACCCAAATTATCTCATTTTCCCTTCACTCCTCCTCTGAGGGCTGCTACCATTGTACCTGGCAGTAGCAAGAAGCCCAGCAATCCCCATGTATTTTACATGTGCTGTTCCCATGGAGTTCCTCGAGCGAAAGAAGGAGTGGAGAAAAATAGGATGGAGATTATTTCTTGTGGGAGTTGGGAGTTAGGAGGAAAAAGGACATGGCCCTTGAAAAAAATCAGATTTCCTTCAACCTCTTTCTCACAAAATAACTTCATTAAATGAGTGTTGAGGAGTGACCCTGTGTCACATTAGTCTTCAGTGAGGAAGGGTTTTTGAGCAGGTAGAAAACCTTGCAGAAGCAAAAGTAAATGCTGCATTGTTCCAGTCCCTTAATGATTTGGTTATTCTTGCAGGTGGGGTTCCTTTCCTGCAGTAAGGGGTTAAAGGTCTCTTTCATATGTGTGTGTTTTTGTTCCATAGTTTATGGGTTTTTTCAGTAGCATCTTTAGGTTTCAATGTGCGATCTTTTCTAATCATGTTACATAGATTTATACAAATTCTTAGACTGGAAGTTATCTTTGGCTTGCTCTCCAAATGTCTCTTTAAACAGCAGAGACATGTGAATTTATATTTGCTAGATGCCTGCAAGAATACTTTTCTACTGTCTCTCCTCCATTTGGAATGGAACTGCAGCTCGTGACATTTCTGGCTTCAGCCTGAGTGATGGAAAAGCGTTGCCTCAGGGAGGGCACGTGGATTTTCTTTCCCCCCTGTGGTTGGCTGAGCACAGCCCATGTGAGTGAGGGGGTCAGTGCTCCTCTTCTGAGACATTTTTCCCATCATTTCTCAGGGGAAAAAAAATCATTATTTAGAGCTGCTTGATTTTGTGGAGGATGATAAAGAGGGGGAAAAAATAATTTTCTTCTAACGGATGTGTTTTTCTGGCAAACCAAATTTGTTGGAATCCATTTGAATGTTATTTATAAGATTTTTCTTGGATAATGACATCCAGGTTTAAAATGAGAGAAAAATCTGAATGCCGAGAGCATAATTGCCATGTCCAAACAGAGTTCATCTCCAAAGAGAAACAGAGAACTGGTAAACTGCCTAAGTTCTTTGGATGGAGGGGACTTTCTTTCAAGGTCCTTTCCATCCCTTTCATGGACCAGTATCACCCGTGCCATCTGCCACATCACAGGGGATACATTTGATGGGGAGCCTGGGGTTGAGCACTCTGGGAGGCTTCCAGTTACCATAGAGAGAAAGATGCTGGGAAATTTCCTTACATCTCAGGAAACAGGGTAAACATCTGAAAAAAAATCCATCTCTTCAGTTCTTTAATTCGGAATGACTGTGAGAAAGGCCAGTGGAGGAAGGGGGAAGGTTTTACTGCAGCTGAGGTAAGGAGGGTGGAGGTGTTCTGAATGGGCCTACAGCAATGGGCAGAGGTGCACAACGCCTCTGTTTAGGGGACAGACCCAGCTCTCCAGTGAAGAAGGAGAAAGCAAGCCCACACTTCACCTTCACTTAATGAGGGATATTTGGAAGGGGAAAGTGTGGAGCACTGTAATTTGGGTTCACCCTGGGGAGGAAAGTACTTCATTGTTCCAAGCAATGCAAGTGAAAGTAAGAGACGAGGTTCTTCATCCCTCATCTACTGGGAACAACTTCTGTTTGCATTCACAGAGTTTTAATTTTTAAGAGGAAATGTATTTCCCTTGGGTCAGACCAAGCTTCCCTTGGTAAATAACGAGCTTATGTCGCATCCTGTTTCTGCAAACCCAATTAAGTCAAATTTTGTGGTTTTGTTTGAAAAGAAATGGATTTTTTTGCAGTGATAAATTTGATTGCCATTAATATATTGGAGTTTCTAATGGATTTTTTACAGGCAGTTATTCATTAGGCAGTTCAAGCAAAAAGAAAATGTCTTTCAGTGCAGTTTCTAAACTTAGGCTCTAAGCTGAAGTTCTGCTCTCACACACTTGAATGCTCAGGGGAGTGCTAGAGACAAGGCTGAATCAAAACTTTGGTAATGGGCATTGGACAGCAACCCTCTTATTTACAGTTCTACACTATGAGCACTTTTTGGAAAAAAGTCACCTGAGTGAGGACTTCCAATCTCTGCTCTAAGACAAAGAAGAGTGGCAGAGGTGCTGCCACTGGTCTTCCCTACCTTTAGCAACCAGCTCAGGGCTGAGGGGACAACTTGGAGTTGTCCTAGGAATAAGCAATAACAATCAATTTTTTTTTTATTTGTCATCTATATATTATATATATAATATATATATATATAAAATAAGGCACCAGTAAGATTGAATTTTTAAGGAAAGCTTTTTCTAGCAGAGAAGATCACCTGTAGTGAAGGACTGGCTCATTTGATGCCTTCTGCTCCTTGCTAGCACTAAGGTTTTGTGAGCTGCAGCTTAACATGCATTTGATCTCTCCCTCCTTTGTTCAGGGACACTCTGCTCACTGACCATTGAGAAGGCCATGCCTGAGGATGGGGGCGAGTACAAGTGCATAGCTGAGAACCCAGCAGGGAAAGCTGAATGTGCTTGCAAAGTGGTGGTGGAAGGTAAGTACTGTGCTGGCTGCGAGAAAACTTCCTTAAAACTTCCTCCTTTCCAACTTATTTCCCAAGAATGACCTTTAGGAGCTACATACACACACAAAAAGAACTCTACGCCCTTTCCCTTCTGCACTCTTTGGTCAATAGGTAATACAATGTCTACCATAATGGAGCATGAGCAGAGAGACAGTGCAGAACCAAGGGCTCTGGATGCTTTGTGGAATAATCTGTTTCTGCTGCTGCCCACTGTATTTCTAGAAGGTTTTTAGAGCAATAACCTGAACTTGTAAGATTTGTTTCTGAGCTATGTGCATCCTTTGAGAGCCAGTGAGAGTCCCCTGGGTGAGTCTGGGTGTCAGTCTGCCTCAGGACTGCATGTGGCACATTTCTCACTCAACCACTTCCCAGTTCTTTGCACTCACAGATGTTTGGTTTTCTAGCATAAGTGGGCAAAAATAAACAAATTAGCAGCTCAACCATTCTTGTGTTCCATAGTTTTAGAACATGGATAATGTACTGACTGAGGCATTTGTTGTCAGCTATGGTCATGCTGATGACACTGTACTCTTGTTAAATAGTCTTGGCTTTGGGCAAGGCCTAGATGAGGCTGAGTGAGACATAGACTTAAAAAGCTGCCATTGAGTTTAAATTATTTGAGGGGCTTTAAGTAACCAAATGTTCTTCTTATCAAGTCACCTTCTGGTGAGCTTATTTTTGAATAATCTGAGACTTTCCATTGTGACTAAAATGAACACAAAACTAGACAACAAGCCTAGTAACATAACTTGGGTACTGAATCTTGACAGCTGTGTTCCTGTGGTGGTATTTATGTGGTGTTTATGGCAGGAGGTCTACAAAAGAAAACTAGTTTTTTCCTAATGTTACATGACACAAGGTAAGAATGTGATTCTGTAACTCCTCACTAAAGGTCAGTCTTCATGTAACTGGAAAAGGAATTAATTACACATAAACTTACAAGTAAATATACCAGTACCTTCTGTGATACTGTGGTCAGAGCGTAATCTTAGATATTTGATAAGCTATTTTTTATGGTTCTGTAATTTAAAGTAATAATTTTTGTCAGTGATGAAGTTCAAAGAAGAGGCTTTAAGCAAAATATAGTCCCTGAAACACCTTAACCACCACAGATCCAGAGTGTTGAAGGATCAGATCATCAAAAGCTTGGCATACAGTAGTTCTCTAGAGCTACTGTAGCAACTTTTAAATGTCTCTTATGTGTTTTTCCTCTGTCTTCTGATCTCCTTCAAATAGTTGCTTTTCTTTCTGAAGCTTCCCTTAGCCTATTTCCCACTTCAAGTTTCCTGTTGGAAAATGCATGCTCTAGGAGGCTGCAGGTAGAGCTTGGCTTGCAAAGTCTTGATCATGGGAGCTGTGAGCTCCTTGCCCGATGATGTGAATGCCATGACCTTGGCTGTCTGGCTTTCTGTGGTGGTGGCACCCATGGCATTAGGAGCTCACTGCTCACATCATGTGGGGCACCAGGATGACCACATTCCCTACCTCTGTGCTGGCTGCCTCATCGACCTTTTTTGTTCTCCACTGGCATGCTACTGAGAAGAGGTTTTTTACGAATGGCACCATAGCAAACTCCAGCTATTTCGGAAAGACGCCATGCGATATCCCATGTCTAAGACTGGCAGAGGGGATGACTGTTATTTCAAAATTAGAATTGTGATCTAAAACAAGAGTTTGGATTTCTCCCTTCTTCAGTCCACTATCAAGATTCCAGATGCTGATTTTTAGATTAAGTAACCATAATCATTATATTTCTTTTGACATCAATAACTCAGGATTGGAGGAATGTTTGACTTCAGTTGGCAGATCTGTAGAATCTGAATGTCTGAACTCACACAGCCTCCTGCTCGGAATTATTTACTAGGAGATTCTCTCTTCCTCTGTTAACTTTTTAGGAAACTTTGATGAATTTTCACACACTGGCACCTAGAGGAAGGTGACTAAAATAGCTGTTTCCATAATATTTATGTCATCTTTTTCCCTGGTAGCTAACAGCTCTCTCATTCACAAATACTCTGAATATTTGAAAGCTGTAAAGTGATACAGCTATTGCTGAGATCATAATCTATAATCATAATCTTTCTTCCAAATATAAATGTCAGGATCAAACAATATAACAAGCAGAGCTTATTAGGATTTGCATTTTAGATCATTCATTAAATCCTAGAATGGTTTGTGTTGGAAGGGACCTTAAAGATCATTTTGTTCCAACCCCTACCATGGCCAGGGACTCCTTCCCATAGATCAGGTTGCTCAAAGCCCCATCCAGCCTGGTCTTGAGCACCCCCAGGGATGGGAAGTCCATAACCTCTTTGGACAACCTCTGCCAGTGCTTCATGACCCTTCATGATCTTCACTGCTGCATGACTCTCACAGTGAAGAATATCTTCCTAATATTTAATCTAGACTTTGCCTCCTTCAGCTTAAAGCCATTCCTTCTTGATCTGGCACTACAGATACTTGTGAAAAGTCCCTCCCCAGCTCTCTTGAAGCCGATTTAGGCACTGGAAGGGGCTCTAAGGTCTCCCCAAAGCTCTCTTCTCTCCAGGCTGAACTGGCCCAGCTCTCTCAGCCTGTCTTCGTAGGAGAAGTGCTCCAGCCCTGTGATCATGCTCAGCTTGGAATAACCTTAAAAACGTTGCACCTTTTATTTATATCTCATGGGATTTATTTATTTATCTCTCACATGGGATACACATGGAAGGGACCTTTATTGACTCCTAGGTGTTGATGTAGCCTGCAGTGATGAGCAGTTTCTGGATAAGAGCTTTACAATTGTGAAAATACTAGAACCCATCAAACTTCAGTCCTGTGTGTCCCTTCTGCTGTTTCTGTTTAGGAATAAGCAAATAGCCAATAATTTTTTCTTGGAAAAATTTAAACTGATAGAGGAAATGTTGCTCTTCAAAATGGGTTAATCTGAATTGATCACATAGACAGTGGAATAGAAGAAATGCCAAGAGATTCTTTTGAATGAAATGATGTTTCTGTATGGCTTTGTTTCCCTTATCTCTGCACTGTCTTACACAGCTTTGTGCACATTGTATTTGATCTATTCAGCTAAAATACCTATCAGCTTACATGGGACTTCTTTAGCTGCTTACTTGGGTTCTTAGTGCAGCTGCTTTTGTAGAGGTTTTTTTCCTCTCTGCTCTGTCTTTGTTTCAGAATGTGAGAGTCTCCAGCAAATCTGCGCAGAAAATTCTTCTTAGAAGCCTAAAGGACAGCAATTTCCTCTAACTTTGCAGAAAGATCCAAAATAAACCTTTTATTAGACAGCTTTTTCATTATTGATTTTCAAATAGGATTTATATTTTATTATTTGTTTTGATTGCAGATGCCTCAAAGACCTCAAAGCCTACTGAGAAGAAGACCAAGAAGCCTAAGACCACACTTCCCCCAGTGCTGCCAACAGAGAGTAAGTGACTATGATTTGATTTGCTTTCTTTTCAGTGGAAACAAAAGAGTGCTTTGGGATTCTGTGGTCATTCCCTTCAGAATCAGAAGCCTGTGCTGTTTCTTTAGCCCATGCACTTAAGTCATGTGAAATGAGTTTTTGCCATGTGGGGATTAGAAATAAGAGCCCGAACTCTGAGTTCAGACCTCGCCCACTCTACTCTCTGGTTTTCATAATGGTGCAATAAACTTGTGACACTGATTTATTTTTGGCTGCCTTTCAAAGAGCACAGAAATACTCGAGTAGTTTGCTTCAATTTGTGTTGTGTCCTGTGTATACAATCTGAAGTTTTACTATTGGTAGTAGTAAATATATTCTATATAGTAAATATAGATACTTATTTTACCAGATTGGTAGGCAAAGCATCTTGACTGAAATGCCCTGTATAATAATCTGTCCTTTTTTGGCATGACCATGGAAAGTGATGATGCAAATTTTGCATTCTTCATTTTAAGCCTAAATGCTTAACTTGCTTTTAATGCTTTCTAAAATAATAAATGAGCTGTAAATTCCCATTTTTGCTACTCAGCATACACCCATTTGCTTAAGAGGAAACTTTAAATGGTAAAGGCAGCACAATAAAGTCACTTCAGGAATTCCTAACACCAGTGCAACTTATGAAATTAAGGGATACAAATATCTCTTAAATCAAAACTGGTATTTGAAATTTTTTTATCTAAGGTGTCCACCATGTGAGCTCTTAAAAAGATGTAAACATATGGTTTAATAGAAATACAAAATACTTTATCCAGCTGTCTCAAAAAATAAAAAACCAAATAAACTCTAATCTGGTCTTCCAGCAAGAACATTTTCAGCTGCTTTCAGCAGGAGTCAGAGCAGTTTTATAGTGATTGATGATCACAGGTAGTAACTGTGCTTCTGGAAATGTGACTTACATAACTATGCCCTGGGCTACAGCTATTTCTGAGTTTCTGGCTGAGCCTTATAACTCTCTCTCCAGCCTCTCTTTGGGGATGTGGGAAGAGTCACACTGATGTGCTCCACCTCTGCACCTGAGCTTCAAGTGCCATAAATAACAACAATTAAGAACAATGATTTTGTTACTGAATACAGATAGAAAAGAACATTTGAAAGTCATTTAAAACTCCACAGAACAGTGTCTTGAGTTGAATTTTTATGCATACAACACACACATTTCAACTGATCCTCCCAGCAGTGTTATCAATTGCAGCTTTCCCAGGAGAAAGTGTGAGTTGGGAACTAAGTCTAAATATGGAGATAAATGACCTGATCCACATCCTGCTTCTTTTGCTTCTGGTTTTAGTGGAAATTAAAATAGATAGCAAAACAGAAGAGACCAGCTCTGGCTGCAGAAATATTTGGGAAAAGAAGGTTGAAATAATAGGGAATGATTTTTCTACATGGCATATTATTTCAGTGTTTCAAGTTCTTGAACTTCTCATAAGCTATATTTTTCAAAATATCTTTAAAACATCTTTCCTGCTGCACAGTAGACATCAAGGTAAACAGAGAGAATGTTAGGAAACTGGGCTTTGAAACAGTTTTTGGAAAAGCTTTGAAAAATACATATTTAATTTTAAAAGGATTTGACTGCAGAGATTTCACAAGTGGTTTTTTAACATCTGAGTCTCTGAGGAATGTATTTGTCTTCTGAAATAAGTTTTTATTTGTATGTTTGTCAGGGGCAGAATATACAAAATAGATCCAGTGGACTACACAGTTCAATCTACACTGAAATTCTTACCAGATGTAGAGATTTTAAAGTTCCTTAGCTGAAAGAGAATGGGCTTTACAAGTCAGGTGTTAGTCTATCTTTACTGCATATCTTTTGAAAAGAAAGCTAATAGAGAATAACTGTGAACTAAGATGTCCTAGTCTAATAAGGATATACATTTTTACTCTGATGTTTTCTGGTCTTTGTTGTCACATCAAGTTACCAACAGTCCTAATGGCAAGTAGAGTGTATAGATTGATGTTCAAGAAAGAGAGAAAAAATATTCCCAATAATGTGATTAGAATTAATAGTGAATAGATTCTGAATTCTTAGTAGTGAATTCAATCACAGCAGCAATATACTCTATGGGATAGAGAGAGACTATATATTCTCTGTACTTTTTAGAAATGCATTGCAGGGGAAAGAACCCTATTTTTTTCCACATTGTTTGAAGAAGTGCAAGTCAAATTTCATGGTTAGCAGCTATGCCATCCTTTTCTCCCTTCAGATAAATTACAAGTGATCCTTAGGGGGTTTTTTTCCCCTAGTAGAAATTTTAAGGAAAATAATTAACTTTAGGTTCCTGAAAGCAAAGATCAATACATTTCTTTCTGTGGAAGAGTGAATGTTGTCAGTAAGTTAACCTGTAGAATTTGTCTCACTGTGAGAACAGTTGCTGACTCAGGTCATTTGGCTGCTCATTCTGACTGTTTTTTAATTACTGGAAGCTTGGGGCTTGTAAGCTACAGAAATCCAATAGTAAGCAGAATTTGGGGCATTGCTTCTTTTGATATGCAATACATACTGGATTCTGGTGTAGAAAAAGGACATTATGAAGGAAGCTGTTTGTCATTCAGTGATTAACAACATCTCTGAATGGATGCTTGCAGTGTTTACTGCAGAAAGATTGCTCCCATGCTGACAAATTACAAAACTTACAATGTATTTCCTTTTGCTTAGAATTAATATTGTGTCACCAGAATTTAGTAATAATTATGCAACCCTCTAAGGATAAATAGAATAAATAATACTGTTTCTGAGAATAAGAAACAGATTCACCTTTGAAGATGGGCGAAATAAAAAGGAGAAGAGGGGAAGGGCACCTCTGGAACTGGTTCATTCTTTACTGCCTCCACTGACTTGGGCTTTGTCACTTGAGTCCTTGGTCAGTGGATGTCAAATGTTACTGAGTTAGAATAATAAAGTGTTATGTTTCTTCTAAAAGAGGCAATGGAAAATTGGACCCTTTCATTATTTATCATGCTGCATACTCCATGCCATGCCAGAACAATCAGTGGGTAATGTAAGGGTCTCCTGGCTTGACACAGCCCTGTAGCAGAAACACTAAGCCAAAAATTCTCACCACTTGACTATTTCTCTAGAAAGCTTTGAAACTGCTGTGAAGGGGTTTAGGCACCCATTTCCCTTTGAAATTAGAACTTATTTCAAATTAAGCTTAAAGGGAAATGGTTATTTCAATTACCAAAGCCACTTGCAAAATCTTCAGTGCTTATTAAATAAATGTTTTTCTCGCAACAGACTGTGGAAAAATCAAAGTGCTGCTTGAGATTTTTAAGAGTAAATAAAGGTTTGAATGTTCACAAATAAATATTCATTTTTCAAAAAAATATATTACTATTTCAAATTTGCAAACTTTTTTTTTGTCCTTAATGTGTCTTAAGCAGAGGACCAAGCCAGCAGGAATTAGCCCAAGGTGAGGCAGATTTGTTTGCAGATCTAGAACCCAACTTCCTTGATCCTCAGTCTCAGGATTGGTTTGCATGCAGTATTGAAGATGGTATAGATTTTTTTAAGTGGCATCGCAATAGTTTATGTGAAACATGAGCTTTCCAAAGGAACTTTTATTCAAAGGCGCTTTTTAAGATTTGTTAATGAAAAAGGAATATTACAGCAGTTAGATTTTCTATTTTTTAACTTCACCACGGCTGAGCCATGAAACATAACTTTACTATAGTAGGAAGAAACTGTATCCCATTTATTGCACTGAGAAAAAAAAAATACTTTAATGCTTTAGAAAATAATCCTCATAAATCTAAGCACTGGATTAAAGTGTTTGGAAAGAAATGCCCAATGTTTTTTTGTAGGGCTAATTCACAGAACTACTTCCAGTAAATATTAAGAAATGGTAATTATCACCTGTCACAATCATTATTATGAAAACCTAACAGGATATCCCAGATTCCCTCATCTGAGTAATACTTCTTAAACCCACTGTTCTCATATCCAGACCACATACATTGAAGGGCTGACCCAGCAGAGTTTGACTGCACAAATATAAGTTCTTCTACTCAGTTAAAAATAAAGTTACATCAAAGAAAACAACTTTGTCTACATACCTGCAAGCTATTTAGCAGTATTTGGTAGCTTGCTGATAGAAATCTTTTATATGTGCTACTATATAAAACATTTGATTTCATGTCAAACGCATTTTTGGTTAGACAGGTGTATTTCCTTGCTGATGGTTATTAATAGAATGTCACCACTGACACTGTCCAGATCAAATCCTCTGGAAGGTTTCACTGTTACCTCCCCAGATTTGAATTTTTAACATTTTTTGTACATGAATGCAAAGCTGAGCAGTGACATCTCTGGAACAATGGGTCATAAAAGTAAATATGCTAAACAGGACCCATTATTATGTTAATATACTCATTTCCTTTATAGGGAGATATTCTTGTCCATAGTAGGGAGAACTGTAAGTGTTAATCACCATGGAAAAATTATGAGTCAGTAGCCAAGTGATTAGCATGCAGTTCTCTTATTTACTCTTCAATAAACAATCTTGTCAGAGAATCCAAGTCTGCAAGCACCTTTTAAGAAAATGTTATTAAAACATTAAACTTGGTGTGTCCAATTTAGTTAATATATAACTAAACCAATAAACACTTCAAGTATATGAATCATGGCATTGATAAATAAGAAACGTTTCAAAATCTTCATTTCATGACAGATTGTTTTGTCCTAAGTGTAAAACCTGCCACTTTCTAAGTGAAAAACTCAATTACTAAGGAAGTGACTGTTCTGGTCAGAGATGTTCTTTTAATTGCAGAAATGTGGGCACTGGGTAGCAGCTGTGATCTGTGCTGTTGTGAGATCCAAGACATTTTCTTCACAGTGAGTGCAAGTACTTAGTGTGTTGGAACAATATGAATTACATTGTCAGAGAAGCCTCTAACCAAGCTTTTCAATGAAAAAATCATCTTTTTTCCTAAGCTGAAAATTCTGCTCTTAGTACATGTAAATA